CCAAGGAAAACAGACCAGAAAGAATAGAGTAACAAATCTGGAAACACCTGACATCATGTAGCTGACAGCACAAGCCTGAATCAACATACCTCCAGGCTTCTTGTTTTGTGAGATAAGGGTCCAAATTCTTAACCCATTATTAATCAATGTTGGGAGTATGAAAATTGTCAGAATCAAAATGGGATTACTTGTGCTTAAAACCCTGAGAAACAGAGTCACAGAAAGCCAGGAAGGAAGTGTTCTAATGCATAAATGCCTGATTACAAGAGCTATCATAAAAGAATGCAAAAACTATAACCTTGCACAAAAGCCATCACAGCCCCTTACACAGAAAAGTGTTTCTGTGAAGACATCTACCCAGCAACCGCCTATCCAAACTTGGACCGGCATCACCCTTGTAATTGATCCTTGTGGCCAAGGATCATTATCTCAAAACAATTATGTAACCTCCTTATTTTTCCTTTAAAAACTTTTTTTTTTCTTGCTTTACCTCCTTGAATGCACACATAGTTTAAAGTGGCAGGTATGTTACCACTGCAGTGCCCATTCCTGAATAAATACCATTTTCTTTCAATGGGCCTCTCTCCATTATTTAGGGTGACATAAATGGTGTCAGAAGTGGGATCAAAGTGAGTGCACCTCAGAGAAATAAGAGGTCCCTGGAATTAACTGCAGTACTGACTGAGCCCTTTCTGCTCTCTGCTTCTGTCCATTTCCTCTTCTGTCTGGATGAATCTTCTCTCAGATTCTCAGACTCCCTCCCTTTGGTGAGTTCTTTCTGACTTTACATGTGATTTCATTTGGCTAAAAGGCTGCCTTAAGTATTTTGCATCCCTTTTGGGTCCATGAAAAGTGTATTTGTTTGTTTGCTGGTTGATTGGTTGGTTGGTTGGCAAGCACTTTCTGATATAAAGAAAAGTATCCTTCTGCATTAAGTACTCTGATTTCTACAGAATTTACATTCTGTCTTTGTGGCATGTCTTTTCTGGTGAATTCACTTTTGGTTCTATCTGTACATCTAGTTTAATATTTTATTTGGTATGCACACCTGGATTAAATATTTTGTGTGGCCAGATATGGTGGCTCAAACCTGTAATCCCAGCACTTTGCAAAGTCAAGGAGGGCAGATCACCTGAGGCCAGGAGTTCCAAATAAGCCTGGCCAATGTAGTGAAACCTCATATTTATTTGAAAAAAAAAAGAAAAGAAAAGAAAATTATAAGCATTCTTATTTTAGTTTCATTTAGATTTGGTTATTACGCACTTCTGTAAATAATTCAGCACCTTAACTTTTACCTTTCCTTTGTTTCTGAACATCTTCTGAGAGCAAAATGAAACATTCTAAGTACTGGTGCAAGAAGGCCATTTAAAAGTGTTGTGGTAAGCTTCTATGTTTGTAGTCATATGTTACACAACAATAGAAAAACTAATGCAGCAGCAAAGTCCTAATTCGGGGTAAAGTGATTATAAGCCCTTTTGGAAACAAAGCTAAAACTGTATTCTCTAATCAGCTTGTAAGTAATAAAGCTGGCATTTTGATCTCTGATTCCTCTATTTCACAATTAGTTCTGAACTCCAGAGGAGAGGAAAGAATTTGTATTTATTCATGCCATCAAAAACTCCAATTTATTACTCGGCAACCAAAAGCATTTCTACGTAATGCAACACCCCTCAGCAATTCTTTTAAATGAGGGTCAGACCTGGGATGTGTTGGAAGGACCCAAACCTGGGTCACCTCAGGATTCAGGCATCTAGAAGACCAACTTTATTTTATTTTATTTTACTTACTGATACAGAGTCTTGCTCTGTCACCCAGGCTGGAGTGCAGTGGCATGATCTCGACTCACTGCAACCTCCACCTCCTGGGTTCCAACAATTCTCATGCCTCCATCTCCCAAGTGGCTGGGATTATAGGCATGCACTACCATGCCCTGCTAATTTTTATATTTTTAGTACAGACAGGGTTTCACCATGTTGGCCAGGCTGGTCTTGAACTCCTGATGTCAGGTGATCCACCTGCCTCAGCTTCCCAAAGTACTAGGATTACAAGTGTGAGCCTAGTACATGCCTAGTACAAGGCCAGCTTTAGATTTTATTTTTACTCCACAATAAATCCTCTCTTCCTAAAAGCTGGGAGAAAACATAACAGATCAAGAGAAGGGCTTAACACTCATTGAGCAGATGAAATAAATAAATAAACCTTCCCCCATGAGAATTAAAAATTCACAACCCCAAGCTTTGTTAGTTTATACAATTTTCACTTCTCAAATAACCACCTAAACATAATTGGACTTTTAAATACAGTTTAAATCAATGGCAGAAAACTCTGAGATTTTCTTCCAAAACTCTACATGCAGCAAGCAAACTGCTACAGGCTCAGTTGTTTGTACAGTTAGGAAGTGCGCTAACATTCCCCCTGGAATTTGGTCACCTTTTCCAATAGCACCCTCCAACACTCAGCAAATGCATTCATTGTGCGCTGCCCATTCAACAATACGCAACTGTCTCGTCTTCTTAAAAGAAGCCTGATCTTTGATGGTGCTGCAAGGAGCTGAGTGGACAATCAGCATAAAGATGAAATGTGAGGTTTCTAAGTCTCTGTCTCAGAATCTGTCGATGATCCATTGGACAGGCAGCTTCAAGGGGAAGGAGAACCGTACACTCTAGTTGCAGTCTAAATTCATTAGGGAAGGCCAAGCCCCTAAATTTAGTAGCAGATGTCCAAATGATTGCAACCTCTTCTGTCATTTTGAATATAGTAACTAGAATTTTTTCTGCTAAGGAGGATTTCAAAAACTTTTAGTCTAATCCTTTCTTCTACAAATAAGGAAACTGAGATCTAAAGAAGCCACATAAAAATAAAAATGCCAGATCAGGCATTTCCCCAACTGAATCCGGTTCTGAGTGTTCAATCCACCAGATTCTTTCTTCTCTAAGTCAGAGGGCCATCAGGCAGCAGCTAAGAGGGTGCCTTCAAGAAGTTCAAAACAGTTCTTAGAGACAGGGCTGCCATGTCTGGTTTAGGAAGACCTAAACATCTGAAAATCAGGGAAGCTGAGTACTGACGGTTTCCATGGCAACTACTGAGGAGCCCAAGTGCATGCTCTAATGAGGCCACCAGCCAGCCAGCATTAAGGAGCAAAGGCTGTGGGATATTCCAGAAAAAAATCACACACCACAGAGCTCTCAGGTGAAACCCGAAGGAGTGGCTAGCCTGCCTACGAGGGCTTCTCTTGGAGAGATACACAGAAGCTCTGGACTTTATATGTCTGCCCTGTGACAAGCTCTTTTCCACACATTATTTCATTTAATTATCACCAAAACCTGACAAAGTAGATTTAAATTTTATCCCCTTTTGTGAATGAGTAAACTGAGGCAGCTGACTCAGGGTCAGTGAGATTATAAATGGCTCCCCCAGCTCTGGTGCCTCATTCCTCCCATCCTACTCTTTTCAAGCAGCTTCTGAAACTGTTCATCTGAAAGCTCCCTTGCATTCTTCTAAAAAGAAGTATAAGCCATTACTGCAAAGACAGCCTTGAACTCAAAGTTTGAGAGTTCTTACAGGGGAAAAAAAGCACAGCGTTAGAGCTCCCAGCTGATCTACCTTGCCCACCATTCCTAGATCCTAGAAAAGACCTCAAAATCTCATTCTTAAATATTAAGTCATCATAAGAAAGAATTCCCAGAGGACGGTTTGAAAGACTTGAGAATTAGGTTAGTACTGAGTTAAGAGAGCTGAAATGAGCAGAAATGACCTTACACCTGAGCAAAACAAGTGTTCTGTGAAACCATATGAATGACTGTGAGTTAAAAGCCACTGGGAACCCCAGTTTAATCACTCAACCACTCATGCCTGTTACTGATGCCTGGAATCATTTAATTACTTTTAATTTTAATAAATAAATTCATCGAGTTGTTATTGTTGTCTCTTGTTTAAAGATAAATATTCTCCCAGCTACTCAGGAGGCTGAGGCAGAATTGCCTGAACCCAGGAGGCAGAGGTTGCAGTGAGCCGGGATCGCGCCATTGCACTCCAGCCTGGGTAACAAGAGTGAAACTCCATCTCAAAAAAAATAAAATATAGACAAATATTCTGGAGAGGAAAAAAACCCACTAGGGCAGTAGCAATCATCAACAGTTCAGTAGGAAGTAGTACATCAGGGTGCCATTTCTGAAGGAGCACTCAGCAGCGAGAGGTGGCAGAGGAGAGACCACCTGTCTCCAGGTGGTCTGCAAAGCCCAGAGCAGTGTCTGGAGAAGTCAGCCTTCTGGAAAAAGCAGGATTCGCCTGAAGACATTGCGCTTGACAATAAAATGGAGTGAGGGAGTTCCAACAACAAAATGGATGGATTTACAATTTTCTACCTCATTACAAACACAATGAGGAACCCCTGTTCCATCTTTAAAGATAAATTGAATTTTTTTTTTTTTTTTTTTTTTGGAGACGGAGTAACTCTTGTTACCCAGGCTGGAGTGCAATGGCGTGATCTCGGCTCACCACAACCTCCGCCTCCTGGGTTCAGGCAATTCTCCTGCCTCAGCCTCCTGAGTAGCTGGGATTACAGGCACGCGTCACCATGCCCAGCTACTGTTTTGTATTTTTAGTAGAGACGGGGTTTCACCATGTTGACCAGGATGGTCTCAATCTCTTGACCTTGTGATCCACCCACCTCGGCCTCCCAAAGTGCTGGGATTACAGGCTTGAGCCACCACGTAATCTGAATTTGTCTCACGTCTTCAAAAAATCTGGTTTGGCAAATCCATACTTAACTTTCTTGTGTCGTGATTGTAGAAATACCACTCTAAAATAGGAAGCTACTCAAAGAAGAGAGTTTAGGTGCAAGATCTTTGACTTCTATTGGCCAAAACAGAAAATACCATCATAACATTAAACTATTCCATTAAAAGCAGACAATGCCCCTGATACTGCCCCCTGGATACTGTCAGGCTAACACCAACTGAATCACAGTGGTTAGAACTGAAATATGACTCAGTACTCACTCGAAAGACCTTCTCCACTCTTGCAATGCTTTTCCCAAAGATGGTTCCAAGTTGGTCTCCAATTCCAGCCAATAAGAAGCCAAAGAGTGGAATTCCAAAGATGGCATATAAAATACAAAAGATTTTTCCTCCTTCCGTGCTCGGAGCAATATTCCCATACCCTGGTGAGAAATATTTTTAAAAAAAAAAAGGAGAGTAGCAGAGAAATTAGCATACTGACCAAGGAACTCACAGACTTTTTAAAAATCTTTGTACATTTTCCCCACTTTTTGAGCTTTAGGGGGTAGAACTTCATTTCAAAGGCGGTATACAATTCACAACATTGTTCCATTGCTTTTCTTCCTTCTCACCTTATAAACAGTTTCAAGGTTTCTTGGATAATAACACATTTTAGGAAATTCATGGTCACTCAGAATTTTCATTTTCATTTCCGACAAAAAGTGATACCACGTTTTTCTGAAACACCAAGCATCATGGACATGTCTAGATTAGAGACACCGGAACACATGGGAAGGAATCACCATTGCATGTTTTAGATTTGACAAGAGCTTTTTTTTTGCCACAGTCTTACCCGTGGGCTCCACCTGGACAGACTGTGGCTGTCTTGAAGGGTGATGGGAACTCCATATTAAAGAGGAAATGTGGTTTAGTACAAATTTACAAAGGACTCATGATTTGTGCACCGCACCCTGGGAAGCCTGAAAACAGGAAAGAATGGGGAAGGAATGGCTTTGTGCTGCCTCTCCCCACTGTCAGTAAAGTTTAGCCTGTCTGGTCCTTTTTTCTCTTTTTCTTTTTAAGGGTTATATGTTTGTTGGTTTGTTTATTGCATTTTAAGTTTTGGGGTACATGTGAAGAACATACAAGATTGTTGCATAGGTACACACATGGCAGTGTGATTTGCTGCCTTCTTCCCCATCACCTATATCAGGCATTTCTCCCCATGCTATCTCTCCCCAACTCCCCATCCCCTGCTGTCCCTCCCCTATTTCCCCCCAACAGACCCCAGTGTGTAGTGCTCCCCTCCCTGTGTCCATGTGTTCTCATTGTTCAACACCCACCTGTGAGTGAGAACATGTGGTGTTTGATTTTCTGCTCTTGTGTCAGTTTGCTGAGAATGATGGTTTCCAGGTTCATCCATGTCCCTACAAAGGACACGAACTCCTAGTTTTTGATGGCTGCATAATATTCCATGGTGTATATGTGCCACATTTTCCCTGTCCAGTCTATCATCGATGGGCATTTGGGTTCCACATCATCTCTCAGTCCTGCCCTTCCTCCCAACCACCTCTTGCATGAGGGTAATGAGGTGCTAAATGTTTACTGATGGATGTTTGAATACAAGAGAATCTTTTTATAGTCAGGTCTGCTAACATGTATTTCAAATAGTGCTTTGAAAATGCCAACATCTACATTCTTAAGAGTATCGCAATTACGTAAGTTACTTACCTATAATGAGTATTGGGCTTACCCTACATGGATGAGGCTAAAGTATTGCTGGAAGAAAAAGGCATTAGCATACTTTATATGGAGATGAAAGTCTAAATTAATATTCATTTTTGTGCCGATTCATATTACAATCTTATGTTAACAAGTATCTAGACAGTAATCTAACCATTCTCCCAAATCTGGGTAACTCATGTGGGGCCTGTTTCTGAATCCATGCAATGAGTGAGTTATTGGGTCCACAATTACTGGCAGGTTGGGAATTCAACAAGATAAAAAAATGATGTTGATGGTTAGTCCATCATTCAGCCACCCACAGGCCAGGAGAACTCATGGTTGCCTTCTGCCTTTGGGAATGAGTCACCTGGCTACTTTCCTTTGCAATCTTCTGTTCTGAATCATTCAAACCTCTTATAACAAATAATGTAAACTACAGCTTCCACTTCTAAAGTGAGTGTTCAGGCTAGCCTTCCTCATCTTGTATTTCTTTTATTCACCAGGATTTTGATTTAAATATGCAAAAAAAAAACCTCTCAGAACTTTTCTTAGGTACTTTTCAGGAACTGGGACAAAATCATTTTTCCAAGCATCCCCTACTAGAATGGTTGAACTGACATTAAGCTAGCCCTATTGAAAAGGAAATAAATGAGCCTCTACAGTTTCACTTTATGCATCTTTATGGTGACTCTTGGAAACATCCAAGTAACTTGTGAAAACACTGAAGACCCCAGCTTAACTGTCTCACAATTGCCTAATTTGGGGGCATATAGGTTGCCAAGTGTCTCAGAAATATATTGCAGACGTAGGCAAAGAAATGGAGGCTTGGAACTGGATGAACAGGCATCTCATTAATCATGACAACTGCTATACCCCCTTCCTCCAGCTTTCAGAGATGACCACCTCCACCTCCTGGATAAGGCACTGTGCCTTACCGTGGAGCCTCAGGGAGAGGTGAGGAGATGAAAGATCTGGATCCAATTCCACCTCACGCTACCTGTTTCTCCTTAGATGCACTTAACCTCTACAAATCCTAGTGTCAGAGGTACTCAAGGAAAATGCAGGGGGGTGAAAATCAACGAGCTGTAAAGTATTGTGTTGATGCAAAGTATTATTATTATCATAATTGGTTCTTTGTTTGTTCAGTGTTTGTTGACTAGAACACTAAAATACAATTAAAGCAAAGTTCTTGGGTAAGAGCATGAGTGATGCAATATTCAAATAAGCCTTTAAATATATTCACAGCCATCTTTCTTTGGTGACACACTGCCTAGTGGATAGAAGGTCATCCTTGAGTGACACTGTGTCTCATGCATGGGCACATGTGTGAGTGTATTGGTGAACTAGAAGGAGAGACCATTTAACCCTCAACCCTGTCACTCTGGGAGAATTCCAGCACTTACACTTTGGAGCTTTGTCTGAGGCAGTAGGAAGACCACATTCCTGGATTTGAGGATCTAGTTATACCCCATCTGTCTGACTGCCCTGCCCATACTGCCAGAATGCTTGAGTAAAACTTTGAAGTATGGTGTAACAGTTGTCTGTAGGCTTAGAACTAGAGACTACACAGACTTTTGTTCTGATTCTTCTATTTACTAACTCTCAGGTTGTGGGCACATTCTTAATCTCTCTGCCTCACTTTCTTCATCTGAAAGACAGGGCTATTAAAGTGCCTACCTACAGCTATTAAAGATTAAATGAGTTACGTGCAAAGCAAGAGTTACATGTAAATATTAAATACCTGTGAAACATACAAACTAAGCACCTAGTGTTAGCAATTATAAGTTTGTCCTGTGCTTTTCTGTGGGAAGGAATTATTTCTGAGTAATACATCTCTAGGAAAACTCAGTCCCAGGAGAAAACAGGTGGTTGATTCTTATTTTCTCTCCAGAAACTTTACTGTTCTCCCACAGCACCCACAGCACCAGGACAAGGGACAAGACTTCTATACCTGGAGCTGGATTTGGCTCAGTGATATGGGTGGACATCCAGTTGAATGTGAGGTGTGGGTATCTCTCAGGGCAGTTGGGGCAATGGAGGCTGGAAAATGAGACAGGATGGCACAGGGGTAATTGTCCAGGAGAACTAGCTCGGAACATTGTAACTGGATTTAAGTAAACCCAAAGGAGTCCAAGGAGCATCTCCACCAATTAGCTTCTGGTGACTTTGAGCAAATGACAACCAGCTCCACAGGGACAAAGCCAAGGGGAGGCTGCAATGAATGTGCATTAAGATGAGCTCAAGGTGAATTCAGATCTGTTCACCTCTGGCTAGAAAACAGTTCCATGTCCTTCATGAAGAGAAAGCTGGCATTTAAGGGCAAAGAATATGAACAAACACTTCTCAAAAGGAGACATTTATGCAGCCAGCAAACACATGAGAAAAAGCTCACTATTGCTGGTCATTAGAGAAATGCAAATCAAAACCACAACAAAATAGCACCTCATGCCAGTTAGAATGGTGATCATTAAAAAGTCATGATACAACAGATGCTGGAGAAGATCTGGAGAAATAGAAATGCTTTTACACTGTTGATGGGAGTGTAAATTAGTTCAACCATTGTGGAAGACAGTGTGGTGATTCCTCAAGGATATAGATCTAGAAATACCATTTGTCTCAGCAATCCCATCACTGGGTATATACCCAAAGGATTATAAATCATTCTACTATAAAGACACATGCACACCTATGTTTATTGTGGCACTGTTCACAGTAGCAAAGACTTGGAATCAATCCAAATGCCCATCAACAATAGACTGGATAAAGAAAATGTGGCACGTACTTACACATATTCCACGCCATGGAATACTATGCAGCCATAAAAAAGGATGAATTCATGTCCTTTGCAGGGACATGGATGAAGATGGAAACCATCATTCTCAGCAAACTGACACAAGAACAGAAAACCAAACACCACATGTTCTCACTCATAAGTGGGAGTTGAACGATGAGAACACATGGATGCAGGGAGGGGAACATCACACAATGGGGCCTATCTGGGGTGGGAGGCTAGGGGAGGGACAGCATTAGGAGAAATATCTAATGAAGATGACAGGGTGATGGGTGCAGCCAACCACCATGGCATGTGTATACCTATGTAACAAGCCTGCATGTCCTGCACAAGTACTCAGAACTTAAAGTATAATTATTTTAAATTAAAAAAAATAAAATAAAATAAAAGAGGATGACTTGTGCCTGAGGAGCACACACAAAGGCTTCCACTTGCTGTTTACATGCCGGAGTCCAATCTTTGCCCAACTGTGTGTCATGCAGCCTCACTTGTTTAGTTAAGAGCGTGCTTTCTTATTATGATCACCAGACTGTCCTCATGGCAGAGCTGCTTTATGCATATGCACCCTGTGCAGTCCCACGGGGCCCATGCGTAGAAGGATCCTGTGCTTGGTTTAATGCTCTCAGCTTTAAACCATTTTGGTGTTTTAGCAAGGGACCCCACTTCAATTTGTAGTGGGCCCTACAAATTATGTAGCTGGTCCTGGTGAATGAAACTGGACTCTGCTGCTTACTGACCATGAAGGACTCGGCAAGTTATTTAACTTCTCTGGGCCTCAGTCTTCTCATAGATAAAATGAGGCTAATAACAGTACCCACCTCGTGTGGTTGTGCAGGATTAAATGAGATGATGTTTATGGAGCACAATGCATGTTAACTAGTAAGAACTCAGTCAATGTTAGCCACGGTGATTGTTCTTTCCAAACCT